CTGAGGTACTGTGGTTCTCTAACATATGTGCTGTTTCCTGCAGAGAGGGGCCTTGGGTATTTGAAGGGACACAGCATCTCCCGCAGTGAGTCATGGCCATGTGAACACAAGCTGCCAAACGGGTTTTTCACAGAATTGATGCAAGAAGTTCAGGCTGTATCCTCTCCCTACTGGTTTTCTGCACAGTGGGGTGCTGTCTGGGCCCTATAGAGCAGTGGTCCAGCCACAGCTCTGGGGAACCATAGCAGCCTGACCTTCCTTCACTTGGGAGAAATCCTCCTCCATCCAGTGTGGGTCCCTGCTACATCTCTGTCACTGCAGCCTGAACACTCCCTCACTGACACATCATCTCTAGGGAAGGCCGCACAGTGAGCTGTCCCCTGGCTGGTGGCAGGCTGTCGCTCTCTATGGTTGAGGAACACTGACTATCCCAACTCCCACCTGTTACAGTGAGATGCTTAAAATCTGAGGTTGGGCAACTGAGCCCAAGAAAGCAAACTACATGGTGGGGAGGGAGCAGGGCGTGGTCTAGGGGGTCTACCACTTGCCACTGAGCCAATTCCAACAACTCACTGGACCCTTTCCAAACAGCGGCTGGTGGGTTTGAACCACCGACTTTGTGGTCAGCAGTCCAGTGCTTATCCTACAGGTCCCATGCATTTTCTCCCTTTTTCTTTTTTACAAATATTTAGCTCCATCAATCTGCCAGGTGCTTCTATTACTGTTTTTTGACTTATAAACTCAATCACAGAGTTTATTTCCTTCAATTATACACTGTAAATTTCTACACAAATGTCTTAACCCTTGGTTCGTCTTACATCCCAGGAAAATGCCACCTGGGTTACAAGCATCCTGAACCCACTTTTCTGTGGCTGAGCATCGCGGGTCCAATATAATCACTAAGTGACACATAAGCATATACAATCAAGACGAGCAATTGGCCTCGGGAGGGTTTTCAGTGGCTGATTTAGCAGAAGCAGATTGCCAGGCCTTTTTTCCTACGTGCCTCCAGGTAGATGTGAGTCAATCATCTTTCAATTAGTAGCTGAGTGCTTAACCATTCTCACACACACACACACACACACACACACACACCGTGGAAAGCTTCCTCCCTCCCTCCAGAAAGCCAGAAGTGGACGGAGACACTAGTCTTTGTGGTGATGCTGTGGCCTGACCACAGGCCCCAGACAGAAAGGGGTCAGGCTCCTCTTAGCACCATCCTGGGATAGTAGCCATGGGCTGGTCACCTCTCTCTGGCACAATGGGTTGATAGTACCTGCCTTGTGACTCAGTCCCCACTGTGAGTGTTCTGTAAACCACAGGGGGACCCACACATATGAGGTGGCAGGGATGTTATGCCCTAGAATCGTTCTGGGGACAGAAAAAAGGAAAGGCTCCTGATAGTTCCTAGGGAAGCAGGGGCGGGGAGTGGGGAGGAATGGCTGCCATGGGAAATCGGCACAACAACATGTGTGCTGTTGGCCTGAGCCCAAGGATGGGGCCCTTGCCCCAGTGGATTGCTTTCATGAAAGCTGCAATTAAGGGGAAGTGGGGTTTATTAAGGGAAGCTGGAGGGGATGCGCCCTGGCTTCTGGTGAGGCTATAATTAGATTGCAGGGCCCCTTTGATTTCGCCAATGAAGCAGACGATCCTGGAACACTCCATGCCTCCTGTGTGTGTGTGGGGGGGGGGGGGGGGGGGGCGGTTTGGGGGATGTGGGGTGGACAATCGCTAACACTTGTGTGGTGTGCATGGCAAGTCCTTCACACTTTTGTGACAAAGTTAAGTCTTCACTCCTTTAATCCTCACCAGGCTGGGGCAAGTGTTCTCCATCTGCAAAGGACACCAGGCATGTCAAGGTCGAGGGCTTGCTCAGGGTCAAGCTGAGCATCTATGGCAGAGCAGGGCCCAAATCCAGGAAGGCACAGCATGGTTCACCTTCTCCCAGGCTGACAACTTTATGTAAAGGAGCTTAAGGGCTAGTCTCTCAGGGCTCCCCGCCACCACCACATAGGATGTATTTGGTATATAATTTAAAAATAAAGAAAAGGTTAAAAAAAAAACTTCGTGCTTTCTTCTGATTCGGAACCCACGAGTTTAAGACTTGGAGTGCACTAGTGGCACCGATGGTTAACTGCTCGACCTTGAATGGAAAGGTTGGTGGTTCAAACCCACCTAGTGGGGCTCTCAGGGAGAAAAACCTGGCGATCTGCTCCCGTAAAGATTATAACCTAGAAAACCCGGTGGGAAATCGTAACCTACACCACACAAGGCCCTATGAGTCAGAATCGGTGCAATGGCAACTCACAACAGAAATCTATCATGGGCCAGGTCCCCGGATGTGGGGCTCCCCAAAATGGCCTGAACCCTGTCCTTTTGATGCCACCATCCTGAGAGGAGAGATGCTTATCTACCGGGAAGGGCCTATTTTAAACAACGAGACAATATGGGTGAATATGGGATTATTCATCAAGTTGTCTGATAATCTTACATATTGTTAACACCCTGAACCACTGCCCTTGATGTGATTCAAACTCATAGCAACCCAGTAGAACTGCACAGTCCCAAAGGGTTTCTAAGTCTGTCATCTTTACACAAGCAGCCTGCCACCTTTCTCCACCTTCCCCTCCTCAAGGATCAGCTGGTGGGTTTGAACTGCAGACATTCTGATTAGCAGCCACACGCTTTATAAGCACCATGCTACCAGCGCTCCTCTATTAACACTGATGAAAGAATCGATCATATAGCACAAGCGACGCTCCGCCACTGAGAAGCAGGTACGGGAAGCTTGGTGCCCAGGAGGCATTTTTCTAAGATGGGAGGTTCCGTCCCCCTTTTCACAAGGCGCACACCAAAGGGTTAAACTCATTTTCATTAAAATTTAAATTTCAGGAGGCGCTCACTTTCCCTTCCCTGTCCCCCGGCCGCCTTTGAACGTTTGACTGGCAACCATTTCATATTTCAATCTCGGCAGAACAAATTGAATTAGATGTTGAAACCAAACTCGCCTCTGCTCACCAAAGCCTGCTTGCTCGGCTGGCGCTAATCCCTTCCTCGACGTTGCTGCGCAGACAGGAGCTGCAGAAACGGCCCAGCCACAAAAGACAAAACAGACGAGGAGCAGAGGGCGAGAGGGGCAGAGACTGTGGGACCCGAGTTCTAGACCTTTCTGCTGGAGCGGATGACGCCCACAGGCAGCTTGGCCTCAGCACAGCACATATGTCTGCCTAGGGACCCCAGACACACATGGGCTGCCTAGGAAGTGTCTATGGGTTGAATGAACGAATGAATCAATGAATGAGGTGGAAGCTCTGCTCTACCAGCCATGACCCTCCCCTGCTCTCTCTGTGGAGTTGGGGGGAGGAGGGGTGCTCTCTGCCTGGCACCCAGCTGAGTCTAGGCGCTTACACGGAGCCTGAGCCGGATGTGGTCATGGCCCCATGTGCAATTGCTTCCAAGGACCAAGGACATGGGCCTTCAAAGTTTGGCCAGGCCTCCACTGACCTGTCTCCCCTAACTTGTTTGTCTGTACCAGCCTCCAAGTAACACCCTGGGGCCTCTGGTCTTAGCTTTCACCAAGGACAGTTCTGTTCCTGTGGTCATGGCAGCCGTGCAGGAGGCCGCCCTAGGGTGGTTAGGAACACACAGTACCCTGAGGGGAAGGACTGGCCTCACCGGTCTTGAGTTTTGCTTTGTATCTCAGGTTCTCTCAGGGGATGGCCAGGTAGAGTGTGTGGGGGTGGTCTTCCAAGCTCCTAGCATGTACGATTCTCTGCCCTGCCCGTGTCTCCTGAATGTACCCGACGCAGCCTGGGCTGGCCCACACTGCTCCTTACTGTTGCTGCATCAACATCATCATCATCACTGCCACCACCAAAATAACAATACGATAATGACAACTCGCAGACACGTCACTCCGCAGGGAGCAGTCTGCTAAGCGCGCTTCACCAATGATCTTATATGTAGTCCTTACAAACAATACTATGGGGTCTTCTTGTACCCATTTTAAAGATGTGGAAACCGAGGCTCAGAGATATTGAGGCCCTTGCTCTGGTCACAGTGAGTGGCGGAGCTTCGATTCACACACCAGGGTTTCCTCTGCCACCCACACAGGCCTGGGGGTGTCCTCTGGCATCACCCTCCACCTCAGAGCTGCTCTAATCCAGCTGTTCTGCTGACTGGGATCACTGCGTCTCTGAGAAACGGGAAGAGTCTGTCTTCCTCCAACTTCCCTGCAGCCTTGTTCCTTGTGCTCGTACCTTTGTTTCTTTCTAAAATTTCCCTCCTGGGTCTTGAGGTTGTCTGGGACCTCAGATGTCCCATCATTACTGCAAACTCATTCCAAACCCCTATCACCTTCCCTGGTGACATCAGTGACCGCCAAGCTCCCCGATGCTCAAACGCTCCCGTCTCCCCATGCATCCTACATATGCGTCACAGGCAAATTTCTCATAAAGTGCCTTCCTGTGGTCTTTGTGGGGGTGGGGGTGAGGGTGTGTGAGGTGGTGTGGGAGTGTGTGTGTTTCAAACTGGGTTCCTGCCACTGAAGGCAGGGATGGGAACATGGATGGAAAACGAGAGAAAGCGGCCAGGGAACCTGTCTCCGTGAGCACAAGTAATTGAAACGGAAGGGGAAATAAAAAGGAGTCCGTCAGGAAAAGTGTGAGGGGAAAGAGGCCCTGAGGTGGGACTGAGCCCAAGGGAAGGTCAGTGGCTGGGGGACCGGAAGTGAGAGGAGCGGTCACCTGGATGCCCAGCTTAGGTGTGGTTGTAGACCCCTGTGCCCCACCGCCATCCTCTGTTCAAGGCTGCTGGGAGAAGCCAGCACCAGGTCCTGTGAGAGCGGCAAACAACAGCTGGTGGCAGGTGCTGGCTGGCTTCCACTCAAGGAGCTTCCTAACCTGGCTGCCCCGTACCCTGCCTTCTCTGGCCCTCCGCGCATGCACAGTCAGAATCTGCTGGAACGTCACAGTGGACGATGCAGCATCCGCGGCACTGACCTTGACCCAGTGGAGGGTGGGCTGCTGCCGCCTCCCACCACTCCCTTGCTTCCACGGGGCAGGATCGCAGAAGCTAGAGCGGCTGTCCCCGTCCCCAGGGCCCTGGAGCCACGTACCCGCTCGGTGCCAGCTCGCAGCTGAAGAGTTTGCTACTCGCTGTCATTGTCACTGTCTTCCAGCTGCTCCAGGATCTCGTCCAACACCACAGACCGCTTTTTCTTCGGGGGCTCTGTGGGAGCCCAGATGGCAAGAGAGGAGAAAAGAACAGCCGAGAGGGTTGGGAGGCAGGAAGGGAGAAATGACAGGCCAGGAGGGGGTGGGGAGAGAGGCCCGGGGATAGATGAGAGAGAATGGAAGCGAGGGAAGTGGAAGGGAGAGGGGAAGAGATCCAAGGCAGGGAGGAGAGAAAAGCAGACAAGGTAGTGAGAGTCAGAGAGAGAAAGAGGAAGAGAAAGAACCAGGAAGCAGAGGAGGGAAGATGGGGAAACATGGTTAGTCTCAGCCTCACCTCAGGGATGTTGCCTCTCTCCCAGCCACCTAACCCAAAGCCCACCCCCTCACCCCCCAGAGGTGGATACGGGTCTACTTAGAAAGGGAGGACGGAGGCCTTCTACACAAATCTCTGCCTGGAAGTCGCCTGAAAGGCTGAGCAACATCTGGGGAAACAGTCTCTGTTTCCATGGAGGCCACACATCACCACATAGGAAGTGACTGGCACACAGTAGGCGCCCCTTAAACGTTGAGTAAATGAATGCAGCATTCCCAAGGTGGGAGAAGATTCAGCTCTGCTTGGAGGGCATGGAAGAAACAATTTGAGGTGGATTTGGAGATGAGGGACTATTCGACTTGGGCTTTAAGGAATGTAGAGGAGTTCTCGGTGAGGAAAGGGGATTTAGAAGCACAGGAGGAACAAAAGCATAGGAATCTTTGCAACATACGTGGGGGCTTACAAAGTTAGAAGAAAACTAGAGTGACAAGATAATGAACGTTTTCAATGAATGTCTGAAACCCTTTGACACACACCACTGCTGGTCCTGTATCCTATGTGCATGGCTTTTTTTCTAACCAGTCCACAGTCTTACAAGAACTCTTAGAGGGGATGGGCTGAGCCTCCAAGAGGTTCAATGGCAGAGCCCACCAGCAGCCAAACCCAAGACAGGCCACAGGAAGTCTCCCCATGGAAGTCTCTGGTGCTGGTCAGAAGGTACAAGGGAGACAGAAGGTGGCAGGGGAGGCCATCTTCCCAGTGGGCTGTGGGTCAATTGGGGTGGTGTCCAGGGTCTAGCAGTCCATGTGGAATGAGTGAGGGACTGTGGGAGATGGGGAGCAGTCCCAGCCACCCACCTGCCTGCCTGCCTGGGAGCCTAGAGGCCTGGCAGCATTGTCCATCACTGTTAGTCATGAAGAGGGAATGGGATGGCTAGGATGGTGGCCCACAGCGGGCAGACTCCGCTTCCCTCTCCCTTCACTTTCCTCCTAACCACCAGGCTCTGGAGATGAACAATGGTCACTGGAAATGGAATCTGTGGGTAGGTCATGGGAGCTGGGATATGCAAGGACCACAAAACGGCGCCCACAGGCCTACACTGGCAACACCCATAGCTGCTAACCATGGGGCAGGGGCAGAACTGCCTTCAGTGCCACCCCTCAGGCCCCTATGGGGGGCAAACAAGACCAGAAAACCAGTAGGAGTGGAGCCACTGAAAACCCTGTGGAGCACAGTTCTACTCTGACAACCTGGACCATTTAGAGTCAGAATAGACTCTTGTTTTTAATTGCGTTGTTAAGTGCAGTGGAGTCAGTTCCGACCCACAGGGACCCTGTCTAGGGTTTCCGAGGAGCAGCTGGTGAGCTTGAACCACCGACCTTGCGGTCCAGCGCAGTCACCCCCAGCGCCATAGCAGGCGGATTAAAGATGAGCTAGAACAAAACACACTGCTGCTATTTTAAACAGGTTCAGTTACTTAATGATCATCCATTATCACTGCTCTGAGGGAGGCACTGCCATCTTTAGGGAGAAGAGACAAGCCCAGAGGAATTAAGTGACTTGCCCAAAGGCACACAGCTCAGTTTGGGAGCGACACATCCAGGGACCCACCTACGGTCTGAGCTCAAAGCCTGAGCATCTCCACTCTGCCCCTGCCCCGCGTTCCACAGCTCCCGAGGTTATATGTGGTGGTTATGTGCCATGGAATCGGAACTGACTCATAGCAACCCTGTACTGGGTTTCCGAGCATCTAGGACCATTTAAAATTCCATGCTATCCAAACCAGTTGCCAAGCAGTCAGTTCTAACTCATGAGGACCTCATTAGTGTTAAAGTGGAACTGTGCTCCATCAGCTTCCCATGGCTGATTTTTTCAGAAGTAGACAGCCAGGCCTATCTTCCAAGCCACTTCTGGATAGACGTGAACCTCTAGCCTCTCAGCAGTTGGAACATGTTGATCCTTAACCTGGGAATTCCAGTAACATTAGTACACAGTTGTTGATTGGATGCTTCTCTTTTTGCCTTGAGGGTAGTGAGCAGCAGCAATGGGCCAAGACAGTGGTAAGAAAGCTGGCATCTGAGAGGTGAGCAATGAACAGCCTATCATTTGATCCATTCAGTTTGTAGGTTGGAAAAGAGAGGCTCAGAGGTACCCACAGACTTGCTGTGGAGCATAGGGGTGTGGACGAGGAGTTAGCAACCCGCTGGCTGCTCAAAGGCCTTGGAAGTCACATGATCTTGGGGCACAGTTCTGCCATGTCCTGGCTGGCTGAGTGACCTTGGGCCACTCACTGCCGTTTTCTGGGCCCTGGCTTGCCCATCTGTGTAATGGGGAGAAAATAGGACGCATCTCAAGGGTGGCTGTGTAGATCTGGCTCAGCTCTATGTTGGGGATCTGGGTTGGTGACCCAAATGCTGCCTGGGAGGAGGTACAGTGCCCCCAGTTCCCTTCAAATGCCCCCTGGCCCCTGCCACTCCTGCCGGCATTGCTTCCCTGGGAAGCACCCTGTTTGCAGTGAACAGCTGCTGAAATCCCACTTCCTCAACTTCAAAAGCCTCAGTAGGTTTTCACCAAACACACACAATGCAGAGCCAGGAAAAGGTGTCAAATAAATAAACGAAACAAGCTGTGCATTTTCTTTCCGTATTACAGCTGCACCCGAAGATAAACAACAAGTGAATGTCACCAAACATCAATACCCGAGAAATTAACTCTACAAAAAGCTCAGACGCCCCCCAACAGCCCCCCAGTCCTGCCCCCTCGCCACCCCTACCCCCGGCTTCCAACCACCATTTTGCATTTCTGGAGTTCCCATCTAATGATTTTATTTTTCAATTAATTCCTTGACAGAATGCCAGCCCGCGCCGCTCTCCCTTCCCTGGCTGGGCTGGCGCCCACCCGGCATTCAACCACAGGCTGGCGGGGAGACAGAGAGGGTGGGCGGGGGGCTGTTGGAAGACAAGAGACGGTGCTTGGAGTGGTTTTGTTCCGGAGGCAGAATGTTGAGGAACGGGAAGCCCAGAGGAAGGGCATTCTGGAAGGAACCCTGAGAACTGGCAGACGGGAACAGCCAGGGGAGGGGAGGTGAGGAGATGGGAACTGGGACCTTGGGTAGTAACTTCACCTCTCTGTGCTCGATGCCCGCAGCTACTGAAGGATTATGAAGATGACAGTGCCCAGCTCCTAGGGGACACGCGAATACCAACAGTAAATACACATTAGGAGTCCTGGTGTGTAATTGTAGGATTCACAATGGACTGCTAACCAGAAGGCTGGCGGTTCAAATCCACTAGCTGCTTCTTGGAAACCCTATAAAGAGTCAGAACTGACTCGACAGCACTTAGTAACTACATCACCAAAGGCCTTTAAAAAGGAGCCCTGGTAGTACTGTGGTGCACTCAGCTGCTAACCCAAAGGTTGTTGGTTCGAACCCACCAGCCGCTCTGTGAGACGCAGTATTCATCCGTAAAGATTCCTCGTCTTGGAAATCCTACTGCTCTGTCCCATAGGGTTGCCAGGAGTTGGGACTGGCAGGATGGCAATGAGTTTGCTTTTTCAAAAGGCCTTTAAAAATAAGGCAGTGGTGGTGCAGTGGTAGAATTTTACAGTGGCCCAGGTTCAAGTCCAGGCCAATGCTCCTCACAGGAACCCACCATCTGTCAGGGGAGGCGTGTGCATTGCCAGGTTGCTGAACAGATTTCAGTGAAGCTTGCAGACTTAAAAGTAGGAAGAAAGGCCTGGTGATCTATGTTTCCAAAACCAGCTAATAGAAATCCTACGGCTCCATCTACGACTGGTCATGGGGATGCCTCCGGCGTTTGGTTTCCTTGTGCACGGGGCCAGCTTGTTAACAGTCACATGACAGAGTAAAGGCAGGAACGACTTAATGGGGTTTCAGGTGAAACCAAGAATGTCCCTGGGTCCTGCCTGCCTGAGCTCTGGGCAGCAGGCTGGGTGGGTGGTTCCATATTCTTTCAGATAGGGAAACAGCTAGTGTTGGGCTTCGAGGAGGTCTCTGCCATGCTTCAGCAATGTCTGAGTTTCTAGCAGTAGAGACCCCCGCCCAGCCCTCCTGAACAGGTTGTACAGCTGAACTGAATGTGGACAGGTAGAGTTTAGGCACGAGGGGCACTAGCCAGACTGAACACAGGTCCAAACGCATGACAAGAATTCTACCCAGAACCACCCGTGCCCCCCACCCTCTATCTCCCAGGACGTTCTCCAGAGAACTCTGGTTCTCAACCTAACTGCCCAGCAAATACATCTGGAAAATCACCAACACCTGGGCTGGACAAGGTCCACAGGCTACTGGCTCATTACTGCCATCAGGAATTAGGGCCCATTTGTAGCCACCCCTGGCTCATTGTGTATGGTGGCTCAGGGTCATTTACCAGTGGCTCTCAGATCATGGGGTAGGTGATGGCGCTCAGTGGACTGAGCCCATGGTAGGGCTCTGGGGGATGCACTAAGCATTATCTACAGATGCTGGGTACCTGTGCAGGCTGGGGGTCAGGGAGCATTCAGAGGCGGGATCTTGGCATTCCTTGGGGGCTATCTACCCCTTCCCTCTCAGCCCAGGCCTGGCAGGAAGGAGGCTGAGGGGGAGGAGACAGGAAGTCTCTTTGCAGGGCCAGGTGCAATGCCAACCCCAGCAGGACTGCTAAGTGTGGGCTAGAAATGTGATTCTGTCAGAAGGGCTGGGAGAGGGACGACAGCCTCAGTCCTAGCTTCACAGTGGACAG